TCAACTGGCTTCAGGCTGCAAGAACCTGTCCCAATTGTGAGAAGACTATGGTGTACGTCGGGTGGGGTTTCTTCATGCATTAAACTGCTCGACTGAACACCAGCATCGCCCTCCCCATGTTCCAAATGTGTCATGCAAAAACTTGACGACTGGGGAGGATTATAATCAAGAGGTAAGGGAACCAAAGCTCTCTCGTTATTTGAATTACCCTGCCCGAAATTTTGTGACAGTTAAAGTAACAAAAGTCAACAAACACAGATACAAGTCCAAGTTAAAATTACAACAGGCATAATAAAATGGTAACATATAACAACTTCTACTGTACGTCGATTAGGTCAGTTGACTAAGGCATCGCGCCTGCCCCTTGCACCCAAATTCAAATTTCTCTCCCCCGTGAAATTCAGTAGTTTAGAATATTGTCTTGACAAAAAGATTAACGATTTCGAGGAATTTAAAAGTAGACATGAGACTACCTCGAGAAAATCGTAGGTGAGAAGCATTTGGCAAACATCCCAACTTTCCATCTGCTTCACCTGATATATCATTTCAATTTTCAATTAATACGAAATAAGTTGCAATAAAAGCAACGAAAATTCAAAATTTGAAACACACAAAGTTTCATACCATTCTCTGTTGGTAAATGCAATCTCCTTTTCGCCGCCGTCGGCACCCCCGCATTGTTCGAAACCTGCTTTTTCCGTTTCCTAGAGTATGCCTTCACATTACCATTCCGCATTGTATCGGGCACGAACTCCCCTGAAGCCGAAACCGCCTCCGCTGACACCAGTCCCTTATCCGCCAAATAAATTGGAGAGTTAGGGATCGAGCACAGCCTCGGAACAATGTCTGCAGTCGCATCGGATGATCGGCATCGCGAAGCAAGTTCTTCCGGACTGGCGGGGTGGCCAATGGTCGACAGAACGGAGCAATTGTGCCCTGTCTTTTCTCTCTCCGCCGCACTTCTTGTAAACCGTCGCGGTTGTTGTTGCTGCTGCTGCTCTGAGCTCGTGAGGTGGTGCTCTGGCATGGCGGGCTTTGATTAAACGATTTTCGGTTTGAATTGGAGAGTTGAGAGCTAACATTTCAAGATTGTGTTGGACTCTGGTGTTTGGAGCACTCAAGCGGAGCTGATTTTCCGTCTCATTTTCTCGGCAAACAAACAGGATTAGAAATTTTGTAATGACAAACTTAAAAAGAAAAATGTAAATTTTATTTTAATTTTTGGGTTAAAATAAGAAAAGAGAATTTTAATGGAAGTGGATGAAGAGAAGCGGGAAATTGGAATTATTTTACGCTTTCGCGCTCTTTTGACTTGGCCTCGGGAGGAAACCGCCACAAAGTTGGAATGAAATTGCACTAACGTTCCCCTCCGGCCTCGGCTAAGGTGGACATCAACAACCCGATCAAACCGATTATACTGCACTAAAAAAATGTGAAAGTTCGGTTAAGACACATAATGAATTATTTAATTTAGCATTGAATTGTCATTTTACGAGATTCGAACCTAAGACCTCTCATTTACAAGTAAAGATAAATATCACCAGACCGTAGTACTAAATGACAGCTTAGTTTAGTTTTAGCTAAAGAAAAGTCAACAAACGAAATTAAATCGTAATAAATTAGTTTGGTTACGGTTTTTAAGCATTTGTAGACTAACCTAACTCGAATCGGACCAATTGCTTTGGTATTGGTATTTATATGATTTTATTTTGGAAATTTTTATTTGAACTCATATAATATAATCTCTCTTAACACTTATCTTACTCTTTACATTCATATTATTTTTAATTAAATTATTAATATCTCTTTAAACTCAAATTTATTACTTAAACTGTCATCACAAATCCAATTCAGTTTATCTTTTACACTCATTTAAAAAATAATCCAAAATCAAAGCATTCTCTCCTCTAACGTTATCTCCTTCCAACAATTACTTTTAATGGAATCTCCATTATCCTCTACATTGTTGCTCTCGATAAATCTCATGTTGCTTTGTGTAACCATGTCAAACAAGTCATCCTCTTTAAACTACCCTCTTGCATTTGTTTATTTTGGCTTCTCCAGCACACTCACTTATACATCAGCATATGTTTGCACCTAGGTCCCAGTCCGAAGGAAGACAGAAGAAAAGCTAGTTGAGAGCAACTCCATAATCCATGTGGTGAGAAAACTTCTTGTTCGTTTGTACTGGGTGCTGTCGATTTTTTTGTAAGAGACAGAAGCATGAATATAAACATAAAAACTGTATTGCTGATCATTTTTTTAATAACATGATTTGTATTGGGTGTGAGTTTAATAATAAAATTTATTTTTACTGTTAATTTATGTAGTACTTGATGGTGATTATGCAATAGGGTAATACAAACATTTCACATTTAAAGTTTAAATTGGGTGTAAAGAAAAGTTATATGAATTTAAATAAAATTTTCCTTTTATTTTATTCGTATAGTTTCTTTAATGGTTAACAACTACGTTAAGATGTTGAATTTGAAGGTTTTGCTAACGTTGAAGTTATTAATCTATGAGTTGTGACTATATCAATTATTAAATTTTCAAGTTTGATGACATCTTGGATTTTAGGATGATATGATGTACTAAAAAATGATATCATGAAACCTAATTTTCTCACAAACGTATTTTTTAACACTATCTTAAAGTGGATCTTTCATCTTCTAACTGAATGAGTGTCGTAAAACATGGATGTAGCCGCATTGGCTAGATTAGACCTGATATCCCATATGTACTCAAATTCGATTAGTTTTAGTAGCATATCGCTTTATATAAAAGAAAAAGTGAATGAGTGTCAACCTTAAAGATAACTAGCCTCTACCAAAGATAAAATCAAGGGTAAAGTACAAAAAACTACCTCAACTATTGGTCTCACGACATTTTCATACTTCATCTTTTTAAAATGACAATGACATACCTTATCTTACGAATTTGTGTCAATGTCATACCTCCGTCAGTTTTTCTATTAATTTCTCAGTTAAATGCTGACTAGGCTTGATTCAGGACCCACTTTCTATTAAAAAATTATTAAAAATTAAAAAAAAATCATTTAATATTTTTTAAATATTAAAATAATAAAGAAATTTTTTTTTTTTAAAAAAAAAACCAAACAAAACTTCCCCTCTGCGCGCCCTCTCTCTTCTCCCCCATCTTCATCTCCTTTCCTCTTCTTCCTACTTCCTACCTGATGTAACCCAAAAAAAGAAAAAAGAAAATAAAATAAAACTTTGTCCTCCACCCCCCCCCCCCCCCGGGCGCCCTCTCTCTTCTCCCTCATCTTCATCTTCTTTCCTCTTCTTCCCCCTATATGCTGCAACCCAGAAAAAAAAAAAAAAAAAAAAAAAAAAAAAAAAAAAAACCACACACACACACACCCCCTCCCGCGCGCCCTCTCTCTCTCCCCCATCTTCATCTCCTTTCCTCTTCTTCCTACCTGCTGCAACACAGGAAAAAGAAAGAAAAAAAAAAAACAAAACTTTGTCCCTTCACCCCCCCCCCCGGTGCCCTCTCTCTTCCCACCCATCTTCATCTTCTTTCCTCTTCTTCCCATATCTGCTGCAACCTAGAAAAAAAATAAAATAAGCAAAAACTTTGTCCCTTCACCCCCCCTCTCTTCTCCCCAATCTTCATCTTCTTTCCTCTTCTTCCCCCTATATGTTGCAACCTAGAAAAAAAAAAAAAAAAAAAAAACCAATTGTCTTCCCTCCCCAAACCCAACTCCGCACCCACCCTCTTCCCTCCTCTACACACCCCACTCCTTAAATCCACAACCATTCCCCCCCCCCCATTTTCTCCGCGCCCAGGTTCTCCACCCGAGGAATTGGCCTGGCCAATGGGATCTGGGTTTCTTTCTTCTCTCGTCTTCTTCTTTTTGGGTTGCAGGGGGTTGGATTTGTTTTTTTTTTGGGGGGGGGGGACGAACTGGATTGGGGTTTTTTTTTCCTCCTTCTTCTTCTTCGAAGATTAAGCAGGGAAGAAGATGAAGATGGGGACAGAGAGAAGGGGGAGGGGTGGAAAGGACGAAAGGTTTTGTTTTTTTGTTTTTTAACTTTTTTTTATTATTTTAATATTTAAGAATATTAAATGATTTTGTTTTTAGTTTTTTTTATTTTTTTAATAGAAAGTGGGGTCTGGATCAAGCCACGTCAGCATTTAACTGACAAATCAACAGCAGGCTAACGGAAGGTATAACATTGGCATAAATTCGTAAAATAAGGTATGACATTGTTAATTTTAAAAGATGAGGTATAAAAGTGTCGTGACACCAATGGTTGAGCATGGTGTCCTAGTTGGATTGGCCTTACTCAAGGGACACCAAAAGTGTCATGACGCCAATGATTGAGCATGACACCTGGATACAAGGGTGTGGGCATGGTGCCCTAGTCGGATTGGCCTTACTCAAGTCTATGTAGAAAAATATATAGTTTACTCATAATTGGCGCTAATTATGTTTCTAAAAGTGTGCTCCGCTCAAAGATGGATAGTTACCAATAGATCAAGCTCATATCATTACAGAATGACCTCTCCAGGATGCGTATAAAAAATGTCCTTTGAATTACTTGTTTGATTCGGAGCTAGCTAAGTCCGGCTAGTTGTACTTGCTTGTCTCTCTAGGGAATAATGCTAGAGAGAAATAATCCAATCATATATCCACATCATTTGGTTTACGAGCTTTGATTTAGAAATTTAGTCTCTCTAGCATTCCTCCTCTCTAGGGTCTGACCTTTGGGATATTTCCGGAGGAACTCAAGCTGACCTTTGGGAAGTGAGTAAGAATATTGAAAGAGAGAATTCTAATGCATTTGAAGCAATACAGTGAGTTGCGAGACGACAATGCTCATGTTAATATCATAAATTCCACCTAAATCAGTTGGCATGCTATCTGCTTTCTTTGGCAGTTGCACGTAAGAAAGCGCACACGGTACAATGAACCGCTACCGCCTGCAGCCCCGAAACACACAGTCGGAGGTGCAGAGTCGACACCGAGAAACTGGAGATTTGGCATATATTCCGAAATCCACTTGTAACCATCCCAAATAACAGAAGTTACAAAAAGATTGTCAAATGATTAGGCCTTCATATTAAAAATGTTAACTGTATTGAAAGGCATACAAAACCCAGGAGTGCAACTTGTCAAGCAAACACTGATACATCTTATATCGGCTTGATCTTGAAGTGAAGGGAGATGAGAGAGAACACAAAGCACTTCAGATCCTGCGATCAAATAAAAATGTCATTAAGATACAGTCTTGGGCAGAAAACTCATGCTAAGTCACTCAGACAGAAACAAGACTTCATGAAAGAACTTGTATACGAGGCTAAAAATGGACACAATATGCAACATGTGAGGAAACTAAGGTGTTTCATTGCATAAATAGAAAAACCAGCATAGACCCATCACCCATGCAAAATTGGGCAGAGATACCATCTTATCATTCTTCCATAAGATAAGTCATTCAACACCAAACGGTTTGAACATCCGCGGAAAAAGCACTGCCCTGTTAAGCACCTGATTCTCAAAAACTCACATATGCACATAATAGCATGTTCTCTCCATCTACGACATAACATACAAGAATGTATTGAATACTAGAAGCGTATTCCACAGAACAAGCTCAAGCTCATACCGTGCAGCAATTATACACAGTGAAATCTCGCTTATAGGAGGACATAATTACAGCAGTGACATATATGAGCTATCAGCATTATGCAATGAGAATCCAGAAAAGGAAAGCATCTCCTAATACTAAATGAAAGTGCAAATTAACTAACCTGAACGAGATAATAAAAGATACGAAGACCTTCAGGATCCTTACTGCTCTGGACATCAACAAGCGATCCAATCTTTGAAGTAGTGAAGGAGATATGCTCATTCCCCATTACAATTTCAAGCTCCTGCCGCCCAACACGGTCAGGCTTCTGGCCAGTTCACATCATCTTCCTTCATGATCTGAATTGAAGCAAACACTGTAACCAATTAAGGAAATCAGGACAACAGAATTCCAATACTCAAATTCCAGGAAGAATACAGTTCCCAAGATCAATCAATTTGAATGCATAATCAATGTAAGGAGTGAGTAGTTGACAAGTACTTTCACTGTTCAGTTAAGATAAAACGAATGTTTGTTTTCCATCCTTTAATAAGACATAGCTAATTCCACCCAATATTAATGTTTCCTTTAACCTTATTACATGGCAATCTGAAACAAGAGTTATTAATTAATGGAAAAATTGAACTTCATGTTTTAGAGGTGATTTCCTTGCTCTTGATTTCCCAATTTCAATGTTGTGAACTTAATGTTAACTGAAATATTAGAAGAAAATTCAGATTGCTATCAATACCTGGGAATCCAAAAATACACTCCAATAATGTTACTATTAAACTTATTTTATCTCATATTTGCCTCCACTGGACAGGCACAATTTCCTTGTCATTTCCCCAATCTCGAATTTTCCATGCTCTCAGCCTCCAAGCAGGAAACCCAAAAACTTTAACCAAAAGATGGTAGTATAGTACTGCAACCATACATTAAATCACCTCTAAAACCAGCCACATTAAATCACATCTAAAACCAGCCACATTAAATCACAATTGCTTAGATCGTACGAGAACCAAACACATATATACTTTACTTTTTCTCAATCCCCTGACTCCTCGAGGATGAGATAGAAAAGCCTAAACCATCAATCAGATGACTATAAACCTATGTTTTGGATGAGGGGCTTTCAAAGTACCAAGGAACTTTACACTTAATTGGTATAAATGCACCAGAAGGAGGATATCAGCAATGAACTACTCAAACACTACAAATACATTAAACAAAGTACTTTCAAAATAGAACCTTGAAAGGTGTCATTTGAAAGTTCTGCCAAACGTATTTGATTAAGTCATTTTGTAGGGCACGCCTAACAAATTTAGCCTAAGTTACAGGAAGTTTAAATTTCCTAATCCAAATATAGGATAATAGTCATAAGCTGAAATGCATTCACGTTCCTAACACAAGACATGAAACCTCTTCTTAAACTCACTCCCACCTTATTTTCTTCGACTTAACTTTCATAGAACCCAAACGAAAATCCAAGGCCTAAAGCGGAAACAAATAATCAACATAATGTAAATAATTAAATTAATAGACATTTAGACACTAACAAGTAACAATCCAAACAATCCAGCCCCCGTAAAATATCCTCAATCACGCACGAAAGATCCACCTTGTTTCCTTTCCTCCTATCTGAGAAATCAAACAGAGAATATCCCATTTACGCTAAATTCCACTTAACCCATCAAATTTCCCATAACAAACAGAAACCCACATAACAAAACACCCTTAAATAAATAAAAATCGCAGAAACCCCCTCAAAATTTCCTAAAACAAACCCTAATCTGCATAATCTAATTCCAATACATAAAAACAATACAGCACCCAATAACTCATATAAAACACCAAAATATCGTACTTCTTTTTGCAATGTAGGCAATTGTAGCATTAAACCGACCCCAACAAAACTTCCCCAACAACAGACGAACCCTAAAACCCTAATCACCAAATCAATAAAATAAAAAAAACCATAAACCCTGAAACCCAAAACAAAACAAATAGAGAGATTACAAGTGACAGAAACAAAAGGGTTTACAATTGAAGACGAACCTCACTCTCCGAGATGATACGACAGCACTCCCTGACGACAGCGGGAGTGACGTAGACCTCCTTGCGGATGATGGTGTCGTTCTTGTAGTTGGAGTTGTTGGCGTAGCGGAGCTTGCCGTCGGGTCGAAACTCGAACTCCAGGAACTCGTGGCCGAACTTGCCCTTGTGGCCGACGTAGTACCTAAGGTAGAACTCGCTGTTCTCTTCCTCTCCGGCCATCTCTGTCTCTCTCGCTTGCTTTTTGTCCTTTTGAAATCAGATGGAGCGAAAGGAAGGAGGAGGAGGGGGTTTGGATTTGAGGACTTTAGGCGAAGGTAAAAGGGGTTGAATTTTGTGGGTCGCGCAACTCGCGAGCTGGGCTTAATTGTAAATTAATATTTAGAGGGCCGGATCTTGTGTTTTCGGATAGGTATTCGTTTGAATGTACTTTTAAAATAATTAAAAACGTTTTTGAAAAAAAATATTTTGAACTCCAAAAGCACTTAAAATGCTTTCAGCACTTCTAAGTGATTTTTCATAATTTACTTGTATTTTTACTAAGAATTGATTTCAAAATTACTTTTACAAAAAACGTTTTCAGTCATTTTAAAAGCACATTCAAACGATGTGCGGACAAATCTAAACAGCTAACAACAAATCAGTCAAACCGAGCTTAAGGTGAAACTAGGTTATAAATGACCTGTTAATAACCGAGCTTAAGATGAAATTGGGTTATAAATGACCCGTTAATTATTGCCCAAACAGAATTGGACAATATTTACAAAAATTGAATTGCGACTTACCCGTGCATTTAGTTTGTCGTCTCCCTCGGTCCAAGACTTCTCCGCGAATCAATATTTTCAATGAGTTTTACAGACCGTCTCCGGCAGCGTCTTCCACACCACGTATTCGAAATCAACCACAGCTTTCGAATTCAAATATTGTTGAAGGAAAAATGCAGGGTAGTGTATTAGGAGGGGTAAAATACAAGGTTTATCAGACAAAGGGTTCGAAGTGGTTCAAATAAATACTGAAAGCTTTGGTATTTGATAAGAGATACCGAAAGTTTACGAACCAATTGTTCATTCATAATAAACATAAAATCTACATTATCATCTCTTAACACCACCCAAATTCAGCAAAATACAAGAAGATTTGGTCAATTATTAAACTAGAAAAAGAAAAAGAAAAAAAAACGAAGATCAATAGCACTGCCTCCTCCCTAGCCCATGAATGCAACCAAGGTTGCCAACACAAGTGGAAACCCAAGCATATTCATGTCAAGAGAATTTGCTGCTCCCTTAGGAGGTGGTGGCGGTGGCGGTGGTGAAGGATTGCTTCCAGGAGTGGTGGGTGTAGATGGGGGGGTGGTTGACGGAGTACCACTTGGGGTGCCAGCTGCTACAACATTGACTGAAAGCTTCATGCCATTAGCACAGTGGCCTGCAGAAGGGCATATGAAGTAGGCTGGACCAGGTTGGGAGAGGGTGATTGTCGTGGCGCCATCATCATAGGTTTTTAGGGAATTGCTTGAACTGCAACTGGCGTAGTCAGCTTGGTTTACAATATCCACTTTGTGGGAACTATCATAGTTGAACACTGGTAAGATCAAATTTTAGGTCAAGAGGTGTTAGAGAAACATGTTCAAGTGCCTATGAGCTCCATATTTTATAGCGTTGAAAGAGAAATCATGAGTTATGAAGAGCATGTGATTACCAAGAGTGTCACCAACAGTGAAGGTGTTACTTGCAGCCCAAGAGTCATAATCTACCGATGTGCTCCAACCAGAGGCGTCACCGACAATGTGCTGCACTCCATACACTGTTGGGGCTGCCAGCAGGAGAATCAGCAGAGCTGTTGCAATGGCCATGTTTGAAGTCTTTTCTGTGTAGTTTAGAGAGAGAAAGCGTGCTGAGGACCCTTGAGCATGTAATATGTCATATATAGAGAGGCAGCTAGCTAAAAGTATAATGAGTTGTTAGTAATATACAAATAGGAATGAGAGAGAATCATTCACCTACCAACAACACCTTTATTTGGTTTGGGTGCTACTATTTTCCTACTACTAAAACAATTATTCTTATGTATAGCTTAGTTGTTAAGGACTCGGTGGAGATGATGCACATTATTACTCAATTCTTTGTTAAAACAGAGAACGAAAACTAGAGTAGGTCTTTGTCAACTGTCGTGTGCTAGGCAAAAGTATAGGCAAAAGGTTAGCTTAGTTGTTGTGTCCTTATACATTAACACATAAACCCTAGCAAAAGTTAAGCTAACCTAATGAAGCAGAAGGTCAATATATTTCCATGTGTAGACAAGGGGCTGTCAATTTTCCCCCTCGACTTTAATTTTAGTCAGTTATCCCCTGAAGTTTTATAATTAACTAATTTTCCTCTTGAACTTTAATTTTATCCAATTACCCCTAAACTTTTTTTAATTGGCCAATTTCCCCTTGGCATTAGATTTTGGAGTTTTTTTTATCCAATTTTCCATTCATCTTGGTCACATGCACGACACATTGCAATTGTTTGAGGGCAAAAAGGTAATTTTATTCTTAATGTGGACACCATGTTGTTTTCTTCTTCTTCTCTTCCGCTAGTTCAATCCGTGCACTTTTTGTTTGAATTTTGTCCCTAATGTGGACAACTATGAATCTTCTCTATGGTCTTGCTTTTCTGGCAACATGGAGTTATGATGTCATTTCATTAGCCTTCCTTGTGACTTGTAATTTGATTCACATAATCATCTTGGTTCACCTATTTCAATTCAAGATCGAAATTCAAATAAGAAAACTAATTACTCATCTCAACAAATTTGTTGGCCAATTATAAACGTTCATGAATAATTAGCTAAAATTAAAATTGAAGGGGGAAATTGCCCAATTACGAAAGTTTAGGAGTTAATCGGTTAAAATTAAAGTTGGGGGGGGGGGGGCGAATTGACCAATTATAAAAATTTAGAGGGGTAATTGGCTAAAATTAAAGTTCTAGAGAAATTGGCAGTTCCTTACAAGTTTGGGGAAAAAAATCCGTAAATACCTCTACATTCTATACGTGTATGTATATATTATGCATGATTTCATCATTTATATCTATGTATTTATTTTTTCTCTATCATTGCCACCTAACATGAGATAAGGAACATCAAAATGTAGAGATTAGGTACCCTTTGAACCCACACCTTCAATATTGGAAAATATATTTGTTAGCCTTGGGAAAATGATGTTGACTGTGTAACACCAAGAAACCGGTGGAGTTGTTAAAGCATTCCTTATTTTATTTATGAGCCAGACATGTTCAAACTTCTTCCTCTCATATATGACATAATTTTGAAGCAAAAAGCGATGCCATTTCGATCGTTATCGCCACACCTAAACCAAAAACTAGCATAGAATAGGCACCACACAAGATCAGAGGTAAAGTCAAACGATATGGCCAATGTGAGCGAGAGTCTCTCGTTCGACCTTTGTAGAGAGTCTCACTCACATTACGATTACAGAGGAAATTGTAGCAATGATCCTTCAACTTGAAGTCAATTGAAGCAATGGTTCTGCAACTAAAAATCAATGACGAATGGTCTCTTAACTTCTCAAAACGTGCAGTTATAATCATTTTCATCAACTCCGTTAGAACTTTCATCGTGTTGGAAAAACCATTACTACAGTTGGGTTAAAGTTGAACACCATTTCTCCAATTGGGTTAAAGTTGAAGGACCATTTCTACATTTTTTTTCATTTAATTTCCCATATTTTCCCCTTGATTCTAACCTCACATGCGTGGCACCTGACTCATTTTGATGGAAGTTTAACGGAGTTAACGAAAAAGACCATAGCTATAGGTTTTGATGAGTTAAGGGACCAATGATCATGGATTTTTAATTGATAGACCATTGCTCCATTTAAATTAAAGTTGAGAGACCCTTACTACAATTTTCTCTACGATTACATATAAGAAGCCATATGCTATTCTCTTATTCAAACAAATTAAATATTTCAAAAACGATTGAAAACATGGAGATAAGTCGTTTGGTATCTATTGACGTTTGAAAGCAATTTCGGCAAGCACCTGCTGATGCACTACTTTGACAGATTCTTGCCGAAAATTCAAATCAATTTCGGCAGAGCTATATGCTGAAACTGTGCGCGCTTTTGTTTGGAAGCTACTAACTAGAGGTGGGCACTTGGAACCAAAAACTGAAACTGAAACACGAATTAAATCGGACCGCACTGAACCGTTTGGTTTTGCGGTTTTGAAACCGAACCACATTATAAGGAACGGTTTGATTTTGATTTTGGCTTTTGAAAACCACATCGAAACCGAACCGCACTGTAAATACTAATAAACATTATATGAGATGTGATGTTTTAATTGGTTGTTTGTTAGAGTTCCATACATTTAGTATCTACTCAACCACACTAGAATATTATCATTCATCATTTGTTGCATGTTTGCTTGCTGCATATATAGTTGCTGAAGGTTTGTTTGTGCATATATTGTCCTAATTTTAGACAGAAATAGATTATCAAAACATCCTCATTCAATGTACTCATTCTTAACATGTGTTCATTAATTAATGTATTGTGTAGAAAATGAGACCGTCTTATGAGCAGATAGGTTTATATTTTAAAATGTACATTTCTTTCTTAAAAACTAAACTGAACCAAACAGTAAAAAATTTCGGTTTCAGTTTTGGTTTCACTCAAAACCGCATCAAACCAAACCGTGCCCACTCCTACTACTAACATTTTAAAACAAGATTATTGCTGGAAAGTTGTGTGTGAGGGTGCCAATATAATCACTAGATCCCACTACGTGTAACCGATTGAAGTTTTGCCAACAGGATCCTCTCCAGATTCTTTTGGTGGGGATCTTGGGGATCCAACGTGTCCATTCATCGTACATCATACAATCAATTTTTGTCAGATACTGTTTGTATTTAATTTTAAATAAGAATATTTAAAATGATTTCTGATCTCACGATGTACGATGAACGGATAAGATTCATAGATTCTCGGAATCCTCATAAAGAGGATCCAGATTCGAAGTTTTGGACCATTTTATCTTCTTACTTTTCTTCAAAGCAATTTTTAGTGTACTTAAAACACCGTCATATGACTTTACCATTCCACCCAAATTATAAAATGAGCCTCATTTTTTTTATAACCTAAAAATGCGACATCTCAACTATGAATGATTGGCAGCATGCGATCAAAATGACAAACTACGAAATATAATAATATGTAAAATATTGGCATTATTGTGTGTGATGGAATATAATTATAAATGGTGATAATCAAATTATATCTAGGGTCAACAAATAATAAAATTAACGTAAAGGGTTTGGTTTGGCTTAAGCCATTTTCGAATAGGTCCACCGAACAAACTAAACTAATCACCGATTCGTTTAATTCAGTTTAATATACAGTCTTTGAAACCGAACCAAACCAAACTACTCTGATTAATTTAGTTAGGCAAATCTGCAATCTGCAACTTTGAATGATTTGGCCGGTATGGTGTCCAATCGTAATTTCTACTTCAGAATGGCGAGCGATTATGAATGAGAGTTCTAGTTATGAATGATGAACGGAAGGGGTGTGATGAACATCTCAGCCTCACACATGAGGCTCATGTGCAGGCTATTAAGAAAGGAACGACGGAAAGTTTAATTTTGAGAATATATCCTAATAGACTTCACCATATGAGTTTAAATCATAATTATCTTCTGAATACCTTATGATCACAAGGACCGTTTATCCGATGAGGCCAACAAAAAAAAAATGGTGAGTCTACTAGTGCTTTAAACTTTAATTTTTTGGTATCAAAGTGTTTGGGAAAGAATCAATAATAATTAAATATTTTAGACTTTAGTCCATGTTTGATGCCATTACATGAGAAAATTATTCAGCAGGAACTCAAACTTTTCCCCATGGGATGTTCCTTTTTTATAGTAGGGTAGATGAGCACTACATTCGGTTTTTTTTTTTTTTTTTTAAACATATGGTTTATGTTTTTTTACTTTGACAAACGATATTATTTACACTAAGGAGTTTGGAAAGTAGGCTAAGTTTCATAATGGGTTGGCAAATAATATGATTCAAATTTGCTTTTAGTGAGAATCAAATGTAAGATCTCTCACTTATAAGTAAAAAGAATATCATTAGACTGTAATACTAATTGGCTAATGATTTATGCTTTTAAGCAAATCAAAAGAATTGATAATGGATTAAAGTGTAATCCATCCAATAATATTTGTGAGGTATCCATAGATTTGGAAAAGGAGCACGAGTAGCATATATCCAAGTAATAAAAGATATGTATGATAGAGTAAGGATATGAGTAAGAACTCATGAAAGACAACTAAAATTTTCTCATAATCATAGGGTTACACTAAGTTTCAGTTTTAAGTCCTTACCATTTTGCATTGGTAATAGATAAGTTAACGGCACATATTCAAGATGATATCCTTTGGTGTATGATTTTTGTAAATGGTACGTATAGTGTTGATAGAGAAGCAAGAGAGAGTAAATGTGAAGCTTAACCTTTGGCGGGAAGTGTTGGAATCTAAAGGTCTTCGTTTATGTAGGTCAAAGATAGAATACACGTAGTGCAAGTTCAGTGGGAATGGGGGTTCAAATGAGATAGGGGTAAGGATTGGAGATTAGGGAGTACCAAAGAGTGAATGCTTTCGTATCTTGGATCTATCTTGCAAAAGAACGCATAATTGGATGAAGATCTCAATCATATACAAGTTGGAAGGATAAGGTGGAAAAGCACATCGAGTTTGTTGTGCGACGTCGTATGCCACTAAAATTCAAGGAAAAATTTTATAGGACAACAATAAAGCTACCGATGCTTTACTGCACGGAATGTTGAAGCTGTCAAGCATCAACACGTGCAAAAAATAAGTATAGTAGAGATGAGAATGCTTCGTTGGATGTGTGGATAAACGTGAAAGGACATGATTAAGAATGAGAATATCTTAGGTAAAGTAGCAGTGGCCGCAATTGAAGATAAGATGAGAAAAAAAATCAATTAAGGTAGTTTGGATATGTGAAACAATGACCTACAAATAGTCCAATTTGAAAATATGATTATGAGACATATATTATGGCAAAAAGAGTAGAGGAAAACCTTTAAAAAAACTTGGAAAGAGGCTTTGAGATAAGACATGGATGAGTGGAAGCTAACGGAAGACTTGGCGCAAAATTAAGCGCATTGACGTTTTAAGATTCTTACACCCGACCCCACTTATTGAGATAAGACTTTGTTGTTGCATCCATATGATACTCATTTTCCTGGAGGGACGAAACTATTCCGTTTTGTGATGACCCATCCCGAATAAATATATATATTTTCTCCCCGAATGTGTGGAAATGACGATTATGCCCTCGTTGGCTTGGTGATGTGGATGTACGTATATAGTTTTAAATTATTTTTCCCACTAATGTGACCAAATTGTACTTGAAGCCATGAGAGCGTTAACGTGAGTTAGGGCCGAATCGGGTTCGTAGCGAAAATGTTACAAAGGAATAAGTGAAATTTGGGTTGGTTTCTTTTTAGTTGGACTCAATTGTTTGAGCCCTAAACATTTTAGCCCAACTAGGGTTTGAGACCCTTTTATTTCTGACCTATTCCGTGACATACACACGTGCCAAACCCTTCCCCTCTCCTTCTTTGTCGAACCCTCTTTCTCGTTGTATAACCTTAGACCAATTGTGCAGACAACCCTCCAAACCTCACATATTGACCTTTCTAAGACCATCATCACTCTTCTCTTGACTCCACAAGACTGGTGGTACCATTGGTTTGAAGAAAGGATGCCGGGAACCTGAGAACTCGCGAGCTTCAGTGGGGTAAAAGTTACTCTGACGTGATTGTCAAGATTTTTTTAAGGTTTTAAGGTCCAAAAAGGTTCCTAACTAACTCTATTGGGACCCTAGGCTAGTTTTGAAGTGACTTGGACATCAAAATAGGCTAGTTCGTAGAGTTGCAGACCTTGCCGACATTTCAAAGGATTTTTCGACTACTTTTCGTCGGTTTTAGGACTTCAAATAAGTAAGGTTATGTTCTCCTTGTTGAGAGCTTCAAATCCATATAAGATTTGTGGAATTTGGTTGAAAAATGAATGAGAACATAAAGTTTTAAATTTTTCCAGAAACCGGCGTTGCAGACAGCGACTAGCTACGATTCCTGGCGAGTCATCGGAGAAGGAAGGGGAATATTCCTTCAACTTTGACGGAATATACTAGCGGTGTTAGGTAATTTTAACGGAATATTCCCTAACGCCGTTATGGATTTCGTCAGCGTGCCAAGCACGTGCCTGTGCGTGGCTGGCACAGGTGGCCATGCCTTGGTCGGCGCGTGAGACACTAGAATTTTTTCTAAAAATATGGAGATGCTCGTGGTGTTGAGTTGGCCATGATGGTATATTCAAACACCCCATTTGAGCAACGTATGAGAAGTTATTACACGGTTTTGGTTATGTGCTTAAAATTAACGTTAAATTAGTTGTTTCGCATATAGGTGAGACGTTTCTGGAGGATGAGCGTAGCCAGGCGAGACTCGGGGGTTACGACCCTGCTACATACCAATGAGTGGGCTTTTGGTTTTCAATATATACGTATATATGTTTTCCATTTTCCCAGAAATGGTTTTAAATGGATTTGCGTTTTTAAATGCCATGTCAATTGCATTACATTTTAGTATATGCATTAGTATAGATATGCATATTATTGCATGACGTTGCAAACACCCAGGTAAGCTTCAGGTGAGTACATATTGATGATAGTAATTGCAATGTGTATGGTTATGTTTAGATGCATTTAGTGCTCATTATCCTGCACCCCGGTGTTAGTGCTCCGCCCAAGGCCAGGGCCTAGCCTTCACATGATCGTTCACCTCCCGCACCACACGCTCACCTTGGATCCAAGGCAGGTGCCAGCTTGTTGTACAGACCACATTAGGTGGTTCCGACTCGTAGGTGACTTGCAATACTTCGCACAACCTTCACTTGAGCGTATCTATTTACACCTAGCCTATCGTACAAACCACATTAGGTGGTTTCGACTTGTGTGCAGGAGATGGTAGATAAGCTATAGGCTCAGCCGTACAGGTCACATTAGGTGACTCCGGCTGACATATTAGTTTACATTGATTTATTTCACCTGGCTTACTTATTTCATTGCTGAGATACTTGACATGGCATATACTTGGTTTTCACTACTCTTGAGCATGATTTCTACATATGTATGTATTACTATTTTCTGAGAAATTGTACGGGTTTTACAGTGAGGGGTTATTATTTTTTGAAAGAAATATGGTTTTAAAAAGTTTTGTTTTTGCCCACTTACGTTTTCTGTTTTGCGCCCCTCCAGGTTCTAGTTAAAGACGTTCGTGTTGGTGGCTTGCGAGGAATCTACGGCGGTTATGACAGACTTCAATTAATGTAGGAACTTTATTTCATAACCTGTATAATTAATACTTAGCCAACTGGATTGCTCTTAGGTTACATATGCTTTGAATATGTGTATTTACACTTTAAATACCCTCACTCGCACTTATATATTTGTCTAGTGTAAGTTAGCTAGTTTGGTTTTTGTTCACCCACATTTACATAATACTCACTTATGCATTGCGCACATAGCTACGTCACCCTCGCGTGACAACCAGCAGGGGCCAGCATGCCTCGATTTCGATCGGGATGTTATCACGTTATCTCTTCAAAATAAAGATTCTACCTGTCTTCCACTGAATAAAACCCAGCCATACTCTATAGGTTTCGCATTTGTAATTCAATACTTTTTTAAAAAGTTAAAAGTGTTTCTGTATTTCAAAACAGCAATTCAAATACTTTTTCAAAAAGCACTTGCATTTCTATAAAAAATTTGAAACGCTTCTAAGAGCATTCCCACAGTAGCAAATTGCTCGGGGGACAGTCTCCAAAACAAAGGCCCGAGGGCCGGTGGTTGGCCTCCAGCGTGAGGCAGCCCGGTGGATGGGGGAGGCCCGAGGGCCAGGCCCGTGAGGGATTGCCAGGCCTTGAGCCCGAGGTGGGGATGACGCCATTCTGACGCCAGGGTGGCGTCAGCGTATTATTTAATTTTTTTTGTGTCAGGCGCGTGCACCCCACCCGCGCGTGGGGGCGCGTCCCGACACAATAATCAGAAAAAAAAAAGGTTTTTGTCAGTTACCGTTGGGAAGCCACGTGGCTTCCCACAATGCGTTAGATCCTAACGGTCATTTAATGTGGACCGTTAGATCTCAACGGTAAAAAAAAAAAAGTGTCAGATTTAATATCCACCGTTCGATCTGAGATCAACGGTGGATATTAAAATGCTTTATAAATTAAAAAATAAATGAAAAAATAGTTTAAAAAATATGAAAAGTTACCGTTGTGACACGTGGCACAATCTGGAGCGTTGGAATTCAAATTTTTTTTATATCCAACGGCAGAGATTAATTAATTGAATAAAATTCAAATTTTTTTTATATCCAACGGCAGATATTAATTAATTGAATAAAAATTAAAAAAAAATTGTAAAAAATTCAAAAAAATTCAAAAAAAATATCTGAAAAATCTGAAAAAAAATTGTAAAAAAAATTGTTTTTACTTTTTTATAAATACCTTCTCATTATCATCTACCTTCACAATCTTATCAGAAATCCATCACCAATAATTGTATTATTTAATAATACTTAGGATAATGACACGTGGCGCAACGAGAACGATTAAAAATCTTATCCGATATTACATTTAAAATTATTTTGTATTAATTTTATAAATAACAAAAATACTAATATTTTATTGCCTATTGCCAGGGCTATAGAAGTGTAACGGTGGAGATGCAAAATCTATTGCCAGGGCTACTTACTGTTCATTAAGGGCAATTACTGTTCATTAGATGGATTGAATAGTGTATTGCCAAGGCGGAGGGCTCCAACGCTGGAGTTGCTCTAATAGAAGCACTGGAAGCGCTTTTAGCATTAGTGTCCCAAATATGTATTTCCAGACGGACCCTAAACTGGTGGTAGAAAGCCAACATTTTCCGGGCTTGCAGATTTGATCCTCCCGACCGAGTTTAGATATTATTATGCTCTTTGAAACCCAAAACCTAAATCAAGCGATACAAAACCCTAATCTACATCACATGTACATTATAAGCATATAACATCCGACAGCAGCACTTTCCACTAACACATCATACCGATAAGTGCATGCCATCTACAACAAACAAACTTAGCATGCATGCTTAGTGTAATGGTCCGTGACAGTGCTCGTCTCCCGAGCATTGTTGCGGACCATACAGATTAAAATATCTCATCACCACTACAAAAATAGAACGGAATAACGCAAAACACAACTCCTGGGTTACCAAGTAGGAAAAATAATAGCCAATTCTAGAGGCGACAAGTCAACACAATCTATTCGAAAGCAAAACTGGTCAAGGATGTTCACATGCCCCAAAGTCGTAAAACCAAGTCACATTGCACAACAATTAAAAAAGAAAAAGAAAAAAGAAAAAAAAAAAAAAAAAAACTACTGGGGACATATGAAATTGAAATTTACAGTTTTAAGTCATAAAATTTCTTTTAAAAAAAAATTAATACAGGAAACCCAATTATTCTAGCTAATTTCCTGCTTCAGATGAACGGAAAGAACCCAAAAATCGAATGCCACTGAGAATGCAGGTAGGGTTCTTATGAAACTCACTTGCCGCCCAAGGTAGGGAACTGCCCAGGATCTTCAATGGATGGGGCTGCTGCACTGCTATGCGAGTAATTGCTGCTAAACCCTCCTCCTCTGGAACCACGACCACGGCCACGGCCACGACCACCTGGGTTGTAGGATCTCTCCCCTTCAGCAGGCTTTAAGAACTCATTGATGCTGACAGACTAGGGCCACAAGAATAAGATAACCGCATTTCAGCGTGATCCATGGAGGAGAGCATGAACAAAGTAAATCAATTGAAAGAGTAGCACACGTGTCACATATATAACAAACATGGATGTTCTCATAATGACCAGAGAGAACACCACCTAGGGCATGTCAATGGAAAAACAATTTCATGCAGAACAAATGTATCAGGAAATTTGGAGACTACATCACCAAAATAATTCTTTGAGCCATACCAGCTAACATATCAAATCAATGTTAGACATCATGGTGGTCTGTCCACCCCATATAGTTCAACGGGATCAATCATGTTATGGCACAGTTCCAGAGATCTGGTGCAATGATTACTAAACGGACTAAGGAATTGCCGGGAATAATTCATTAACTAGTTAGTTATTCTGGTGAACTGACAGTGAAGGATGGGAGAGGAATAGAGTTGCCCCATGTTCCCTTCAACTACAAATGCAAAAAAGAACATTTTCCAACACGGGATAAGTGTTGCATGATGTGAGAGTGATCTCGTCAAAAGCAACTGATCAGTAGGTCAGGATACACATCCTGCAACTAAACCATAACACGCACCCACCATAACTACACAGAAATAGGAGGAGGACTGGGTTCTATTTGAAAAGGGTTAAAAAAAATATAAAATAAAAATAGCCAGCAGTGCAGACATCGAGGGGGAAAATCCAATAGCGTCATACCTGGGCAGGAATTTGGTACACCTTAGACATTCAAAGGCCACAAAATCCCAATGAGTGTGTAATAGAAATACAGATACAGAAAAGTGGGGAAGAAAAATAGTCTTCCTAGAAGCCAGAGTGCATAGAAGGTAACCAGGATTGAGAATAAAATTAATAAATAGAGAGAGCCTCCCATGAAAGGAAAAGGCAGTAGTACCTTTTTGGATTTTTCTTCCTTCTCAGCATCTTTCTTCTTATCCTTGTCCGAGCCCTATGAAGAAGAAAAGGTCAAGTGGAATGGACTACGTGATGCTAAGTTCCACAAGACGAACGGGGACTTAGATACTCCTACAAAGGACTAGAGGATCTCACCAATTTAATGAAGATTTCATCATTGGCCTTCTTGTTTGATAGCTGTTGGAATGATTCAAATTCCTTAGCATCAACCTTTCTTTCCTCAGTAGTCTTAAGTGCCTGAAGGGCCTTCCTCTTCTCCTCGAGCACTTCTCATACTCTTCAAGTGTCATTTCCTATTCAAAAACCAAAAAAAATCACAAACCGCAGATAAACACAAAGCTGAAAGGCTAGAGTAGCAAACTAAGTTATTGACCGAATAAAAGGCAAGACAAAGATCTAATACCAAATTTTTATGTTCATCAAACTAATCATCAACCATAGCTGGTTTCACATAAAAGACTGCATTTAACAAAAATCTGCAGCTAACTACAGGGACAAAAGATTGTTCAACAAAATAATTGACTCAACAAAGTAAATGTTCCACACAAAGGAAACAAGGAGAATTTTCACAGTTCAACATAGAAACAAATTAAACTAATCAGAGATTTTCTTTAGCAAGACAGAAAAAAACACTTATTTGGGTTCCTATTATGAAATTCTCATATAACACCAATTTTTGCAGCATTTACATTAAAAGATTACAACAGCCAATAGTTGTTACTTTGCACTAATGTTAGACGCCCTACGGAAAATAAATAAACCCGCAGTGAGACATTTCAGATAGCTTACATTCTGGAGGGAAACAAGGGCAGAACTATTGAGAGATGCTGCAACAAAAATGAAAATAAAAAAGAAGAAGCTCACCTTATCCTCAGGTTCTTTTTCTCCAGGTTCATTAGCAGGGGTATCCTTGTTGCCATCTGCTGCATCTCCCTCTTCCACAGGCTTCTCATCACCTAAATTCTTTTCAGTTACATTAGCAACTTCTTCGGTCACCCTATGTACAAAAAAAATGTTAGACGTCAAGGTCGTCAACATGATTAAAATGTATTTCAACCAAATAAAACTAGGTATTAAAATGGATTTTAGAGTGATAATGCAATTGGGTAGCAAGAGAGGTGCATTTACTCAGAAAGTTCATCAGCTTGTGCTCCCCAGTTGCCACGACCAGAACCTTCGCGTTTGACTTCACTTCTGCAAACAAAAAAAAATAAAAAATAAAATACATTAAGCCTCAGAACTATATGAGTATATAATGTAATAGAATGGAAAGCTAAAAGTAACGTTTACCCGCGTCCAGTCCCACTACGGCGTTCATATACCCTGCGGCGTTCCCCATCACCAGCTTCCCCATTTCCGAAACCACCACGGCGACCACCACGGTAAGGACCACGAGGTCCGCCATAGCCACGCCTTTCCCTCTCATCACCATCTTCATGAGCACCTTGACCAGCAGGAGCTCCACTGTTGCTGAATGTATTCTCATAGTTGGCTGATTCGCGATTGTAACCCCCATCACCACTACCACCACCACCACGTCCACGGGTATAACCATATCCACGTCCACCTCCACGACCTCCCCCGCGACCAGCTTCATTCTTTGCATCCCTCACTGCTCAAGAAGAAACAACTACTTAAAACAAACAGTAACAGAAAGCAATTTCACAAAAAAGTATCACTGAAAGTCTGAAACTTGGTTCCCATGACAAAGTAAATGATACAACCAATTTAAATTGTCATAATAGGCACAGAAAAGGTTTCATCTTCTATATTTCTACATAAATCAATAAATCGCAACAATGTGAAATACAACTTTCCACATTATTATTTCCCACAACTTCCAAGCTTCAGGGAAAGAGAACAAAAGAAACTAAAACAAAAATTTCCCTGATTCAAAAAGTTTTTATAAATGCAAACACAATAAAATACTCCTAAACATAGTCATAACAAAAACGAGTACCATTCTGAGTAAGAAAATCAAAAGTCAAAGTAGCCCACTGTTAATTATGCGTGTACATACATACAAAAGTATCATTATGAGTGCCTGTCTTTTGTGCATTTTTCTGAGAAAAAGATGCATCCCTAAATGAAAGTACATTATGCATTGAATGAAATATACATGGGTGTATTTTATCAACACACGTATACAAAAGCGCGCAAACATACACAATTACATACATTTGAGTAGGTGTGAATGTACCAAGTAACAATCCAATCCATAGTTAACAGAATCCACAAAAAACCACCATTCAAAATTCATGGAACATTCAAAGACGTAAACGAAACCGGAAACGTAAATCTCAATGAAGAAAAAGGAAAGAATCCAAGATTACCCAAAACCAACAGAAACAGAAGGCAAACCATTTCCAATCATAACTTCACCATTGCAACCACTTCCAGTTGATAAACAAAATGCCAAGAAACCTCACAAAAACCAAACAAACAAGAACACAACTTATTCACTAAAGAACTATATATAAAGCGACAATCAGAAGCTCACCAGCCTGAGCAGGAGGTGCAGGCTTGGAAGGCAGCTTGGCCGGCTTGGTCTCTTGACCCTGAACCCCCGCCTTGGCCGGCTGAGCCGGGACTGCCTTCTTGGGCGCCGCAGCCAGTTTCTGCTGCTGAGCTGCGATCAGCTGCGACGGGTCCTCGGCATCATCGTCACCCAACAAATCAAACGGGTTCATGGTCGCCATTTCTTCAATAAACCCCTCACAAAAACCCTAAAATCCGCGAGATGCTTGCTGTCAGAGGCGACAAAGAGACCCTACCTTACCAATATCTCCATGGATGTACTGAGACGAAGATAATATCGAGACTAAGGGGAGAGAGAGATCTGAAAGATTGAGGCTTTAGGGTTGAGAGAGGGAGAGAGAGAAGGAGAGAGAAAAACCCTAGCCGCAACCAGTCATTGAGCAAATAACCTATGGAGTGAGAGTACGCGTGTCTCTGGGAACCTAATCTGAAATGCTCAATTTATTATTATTTAGTCTCGTTTATATGCACATGCGGCCTAATACATCCAACCAATATACACATTTCATTTTCAATTTTTGTTAACAAACATCAATGATATTCACTCAAAAAGTAGACGTACAAGATACAAATTTTAACATTAATTCAAAAATTTACAATAATAAAATCTAACATAGTACGTCACTTAAGCTCGAAGTTTAGTAGCATTCGTTAAAGGTCTTATTATTGTATTAAAAACCCATACCTAACCCTGAAACAACCAAATCTTAATTAAATCTAAATCATAACAATTTGTTTATCACCACAAATTGAAGTTGCACCACCACATAAAATTATGCAGCATCTAGCTAAGAAGAACATGTAGAACAATGGACAAATATGGAGAAGAATCAATCTTCAACAATCCAATTGTGCAACAGAAGAGTCGATTGTATAGTAGCGACTAAGAGTCGCCATCTAATAAAGAAGGTAAAAATAGCATGGACAAATTGAAATGAAATCATTCATTGTCAATTAATTTGTCTAACTTTTTTTCTGTCGAACAATTAATTTGTCTAACTTTTGATTTTCTCTTTTCTCTAAGAGTTACAAATGTAAGGTGAAATAAATAATAGAACGGAAACTTAATCTTTCGTCCCTCACAAAAAACAGTAAAAGAAACTAACTGAATTACAAACAATTTGCAACATTGAAACTCTTTAATAAATGCACATGACTTGGAAGCATGTAGGAAGCATGTATATCCACAATGCTCGGTGGCAACAACGTGGCATCATCAATCAGGGCCGTTGATGTCGTTGGGATTAGGCATTTGGTGGGCTCCACTCAATCAACAAGTGAATGGCGTCGTTGTCTCTCTGTATTTAAGCAAAAATGGATAGGACTGAGATATGTCGTTTTCTTGCCTGCCTCCTTCAATTAATAATTTGCATATTGTTCATATTAATCGTTTGATAATTATTTTATTTTAATTATTATTTTCAAAATTAAAAACTTGTTAAGTAAAAAACTTCTTCGTCTCTCCTTTTTATATTCCCTACATCTCTAAGAAAAAATATATAATTATAAAAAATAAAAAAAAAGGGTTATCAAACATCATCGAAAGAAAAACCAAACATATAGCGCGGATCAAATTAAACCCGTTCATAATGTCCAGAACGATGACAGTGGCTCAAAACATTGAATTATATTTTTATGGTTTTGACTTCTAAAACTATTTTCTCTTCTTTACAATGAATTTCCTACTCATCCAATTTACACACACAAAAAAAATGTATTTAACACTGCCTTGATATCTGATAACTATAACATTATATGCAAATCAACATACAAATTGGAAGACAAATACAACCTTGAGACTCTTCTCTTTCCATCGTATTTTTCACTTCAGCGAAAAAATGATGTCCCTTCGCTAGTAAAATGACAAGAAGAAAGACAGACAACTCAAAATCCAGGCAAAATTGACAGGTCGGCTACTCCTCTTGGAAGGTCGGAAACTTTCTTCAGCAAAGCAAGCCTGTTCTTCCGAATTCTTTCTTCTTCCTGTGTACACGTAATGTCAAAAAGACAAATTGAGTTTTGTTTTCCTGTCTCAACTCGATTGACGATAATAATGAACTAGGACTTGAGAATTATCAAAATGCAGTTTCAAATGACGTAGCTGCCTCAAGGAGTCTAATATTCAGTTCCCTGATCTAACGACTCTTAGAGTCGGACTGTAAGTTTTGGAAGTTCTAAGGTTTTTGTTAGAATGTATTAAACCCGAAGGGGGATACTGTCCTAATTAATCCTAATTTACGCACACATACAAGTAAACACACGTTCAAGGTACAAGGTACGAGCTGTGAAGATGCAAGTGGTAAAAGCAAATGGTAAAGGAGGATTCATACCACCATTACAAACACATGATTAAAGAAATCCTCGAGGGGTTGTAGTAGCTGCGACGATACTGCAACAAACTCATCAACCTCAATACCTAGGAGCCACCAGGAAGGAGTTCAAGGTTACTTAATATGCTAACAAAGTTATTCAACTCTAAAACAGATTGGAAATCTTTTGGAGAAAGAAATACCATGACATATTTTGTTTTGAACGGACAAGAAAGAATTCCATAATGCTTTCTCTTCGTCTGTCTCAAAGGCTGCCTCGTCCACCTAAGAAGATTATTACACGCGTTGTGAGGATATAAGAGTAAGATAGGCAATAATAGTGTACGGAAATCATAATAGCCATTCAACCAGATAATTTCAGGTCCTAAAGACAGAAATTAATCTTCACTACAGAGAAAGAGTACCTCAATATGAGGATCCACATCCTTCCCTCGAACTATTCTTGTAGGACGAGAATATGCTTCAACAACCTTTTGGAAAAGCTCGCCTTTTGACAAGGCTTCCATCTACAGTTAATCATATACACCATAAAGAATTGACATGATTCGAGATGTAAAAGAAGTGAGAAAAAAAAAGTACTACAAAACATGAAAAGGAATAAAAATATATCCTTTTTTATAGAACCAGAAAATAATTCATCTTTTTTGGTCAAAATGTTCTGCCCAAAGAAAACACGAGTAATATGGGTTTACAATTTAGGCATCTAGATGTCATGATATTACAAGCATCATCAAATTCAAGGTAGTACAACCAGTAATTATTTCTCAGAGAAATCTAATGGCCTTGTCAACATATTCACAGAACACTTTGCAGCAGGATCAGCAGTAACAATCAAGCAACTTACTTTACAGGCAGATCTTGCTGCGAGGCAAGGTGAATTTGCACGCTCTGCAAGTACAGAACGAACCACTTCTGAACTTATTCCCTTATCAACCTGTAAACATAATGTAACCAAAGTGTATAAAATCAAGAATAAGACAAGTAACACAACAAAAAGATACCATGAGAAGAAAAGATAATAAGGTTAAACTATAATACATGAATTATACAAAATCTAATATTGGAACATAAATGAAGAAAATAAAGAACTAATATACTGACAGAGTAGCATATGAACATGCAAACTCAGAGAGTCTAGCATATGAACGTGAGAAAACCAAAATACAAGACTTGTTTAGGGGTTGTTTCCATATTTTATACTCTACAATATTACAGAACAGGATTCAGATGGATGCAGGAGATGTATACGTACCAGATATTGTTCTAATCTCCGTGTAACAAATTGATGTGCCTGAGTGAAGGGGCAAAGAAAAAAGATGCAATCAACATCACTTGATGTCCATACTGACTTAAACAAGATAACAAGAGCATTAATATAATTAAATATTCCCAAAGGAACCTTTAGATGGTAGGTTACATCATGACTCATGATAACCCTCTCTGCATCATTACCCTTCCTTTTCAGAACTTCATGTCGACATTATATTTTAATTTGAAATGCTAAAGTGGCCAAAAAGAAAATCTAGGTTTCCAACCATAACTAAGAAGTTTAGTTCATACATCATTTATAGTACTTGCATCTACTTCAATGGGTTGGACATCTGCAGCAAGTTCCAATGCTTGTTGTAAGTCCAGATGCTTATCTTTTTCCACCAACACCTGGACCTAGAGGAAACAAATTTTAACTTGTTTAATCTTAGTTAGCTGAGCCTCAAAACATCAGAATGACCATGGAACTTACAAGACCATAAGAGATTCGTCGCAGGCCAAACGCATCATTAGCAGAACTGGGCTGACAACCAGCAGCAAATAAGCCGACAAGACTATCTAATCTGCAAAAGACATATCAAGTCAAGAGATTTGCAACTAGAGTTCCACTATGAAAGATAGACATGCAATCGGCAACTTAGCCTGAAAGGATATGGTAGGGCATACCCATAACATTTGCAAAAATGATTATTCTATGCATATATGAGAGAGGTCAAACCAAAACAAGCTGAACTTCTTTGGGGTTTTTCATTTTGATAATTTTCTTCTGGAAGCAGCATGATGGAAAATGACATTGCATATTAAAAACGTGAACTGTCTTCACATAGAATTATCCCCAATAAAAGCAAATAAACATGCATTATACACCCCCTTTGTACTATATATTCGTGTGTGTACTGTTGACTATTTGACAAACTGCGATGCTTCAACGCAAACTAAAATGGACCTATTCAGTTCTCAGCATTACCTGTCAGCGACAGACAGAACTATGCCTGCATCAGTTTTAGGAAGCGTATCTCCAGAAAACCTCGGAAGTGTGATCTCAAACAAAGCTTCTGCAACCTGAAACATATCAACAAAAAGGTGGGGTAAGGAGCAATTACTTCTGAGCAAGAAGTGAGAGTACTATTATTGTCAATTCCCACAAGAAGCTTGAGTGCACAAATACACAGGAAAAATATAACCAACACCAAGACAAACCTGCTCTGAATAGCCATCTCTAAGAGCGTAATGACGAGCCATTACTCCTGAAAGGGAAGTAAACTCTGTGACAACCGCTGTAGCCAGATCTGCCATAGCGAGTGACGCAGCATCCTGGACAACTTTGTTCGTATTTTCATTCATTCCAAGGGCCAAGCTTAGCTTGTTAACCGTATTCTGTATGCGCAGCACCTTGTCCAGCATTGTTCCTAACTTCTCCTATTAATATGGTCAAAATAAAGGAGCTATTATCAGGAATCCTTTATAAAATAAAATATTAAAACTGTCTAATTGTTCTTTATTGCGCTAACATTAAGTTTTGATAACCATCTCATTCTTTTTTTCTTATCAATATGAAAAGGTAAGATAATCTCTTCTTAAATAAGACAAAATAAAAGGCTTACATGGAAAAGAATCCCTTTCAGTTGAATTCTAAATTCTGAAAACCTTTTCCGTGTATCCATTTCATAGAAGAACTTAGCATCTTCATAGCGAGCTCTGCATAGACAGTGAAATGCTCAGACACTTTTCAAGATTAATAAAAGCCAGAGAACTTGAATTGAAGAAGAGAATCTGCCAGCATGTAATCCAGAGAGCAGAGAGCAGCCCCATCAGAAAAAAGTGTTCGAGAACAAGATTTTATGCAAATCTACCCTCCTGCACTATTTAATATTTGGTAACAGTGGCCACTGAATATCAGAAATGGGAAAAAGAAAAGAATACATAACTGGAAACAAACATATATAGACACAGGTTCAGTGTCATGTTACGCCAATTAGCTCATGAACTTTTCTCCTAAGCTTAAAATTCCATATCACCCATTATATGAAAATTAATCTTGGGAGCATAATGGCTTTACAACAATAGGCTATCTATCCTATGATATTTTTCTTTGGCTTAAAACTTATTATTTTCTTTTCAACAACAACGAAGCCTTTTCCCACTAAGTGGGGTCGGCTATATGAATCCTAGAACGCTATTGCACTCGGTTCTGTGTCATGTCTTCCGTTAGATCCAAGTACTCTAAGTCTTTTCTTAGAGTCTCCTCCAAAGTGTTCCTAGGTCTTCCTCTACCCCTTCGGCCCTGAACCTCTGTCCCGTAATTGCATCTTCTAACCGGAGCATTAGTAGGCCTTCGTTTCACATGTCCAAACCACCGTAACCGATTTTCTCTCATCTTTCCTTCAATTTCGGCTACTCCTACTTTACCTCAGATATCCTCATTCCTAATCTTATCCTTTCTCGTGTGCCCACACATCCAACGAAGCATTCTCATCTCCACTACACCCATTATTTGCTTTTCAAAGGAGAAAAATGTGACAAATGTGCAAAACCATGTATGAGAGCGCTAGCATATGTACAACGAAACACACTAGAGAGATTTTTAAAACCATTTCACTGAACAAATATCTCATGGTTTCTTTACTTGTCCGCCAAAATAGCAATGAGAAAATGCAAATCCAGCAGATCATGAACTTTCCAGTGCACAAGGAATACAAAAGAATTAGCAAGATGCATGCTTACCTCAGTACAGCCTCATTTCCTTTTTTGACTACAATCTCATCAATTGCTCCATTTGCCACCTATAAAAAGGGTCTTACGTCAACAAAACAAAATATGAATATATTAACTGCCACCATAAAGCAAAATATTAGGTCAAGAGTCATATATGACTGGAAAGCATGTCTCACAGCAATGAAATATGGCAGCAGCCTTCCATTTTCATCTTTCACAGCAAAATACTTCTGATGCTTCTGCATAACCTGCAGGGATCCCTCATAATATAGTAAATAAAAACAAACAATTCTAAAAAAATGACAGAAAAATCTTACATCATCCTGCCATTTAGATATTGGAAAACTAACCATTAGAAAGAACAAAATAACAATAGATTCTATCCAATTCTGAAAGAATCGCATCAGAACTGGGACAAATTTTCACAACCAAGTATCTAATTGACCCAGATGCCATTGCTATTTTCTAGGCAATTCCACCTTACTTGGAATAGCCTTCCCAATGGGAAGCATCCCAACCATACCTAGTTTACCTTTTCAAAATATAGTTAAGCTTCACAAGGACTTCATGATAGTCTACAAAGATTAAACAGCTTACCATAGTCAGAAGATCACTAGGAAGCTCTAAGAAGGACCTTTTAAACTCCCCAAGGACCGGAACAGGTGCCTCAACAAGATTTACAACCTATCATAATTTGTTGGAAAATGGTTAAAAACATGTTTATCGTTGGCACTGCCAACCACAGACAACAATTTACCAACCTCATTAAGTAAGCCCTCCTGAATAAACACTCGTCCGTTTACACTTCTGGCTAATGCATTAGACCCCTCCAATACTGTTTTCTTACGTTCCTGCGAGTAGAGTACTTGTTTAAGTAACCAGTCACTATTAATAAGGTCTAATCATTCCATGTGAAAGAGCTATTCCTAAGAAGAAAGTTATCAGATTGCAATATGATATTGATACCTCAATTTCAATATTGATCCCAGCCTTCCTCATTACACCAGCATAAGATTCAGCACTATCAACCTGTGACAATACTTGTGCAGCTTAGCATCGTCAGAAGATCACTAGCAAGCTCTAAGGACCTTTATGCTCTCTCATTTTATATTTATATTTACATATAGAGAGAGCGCATGAGAGAGAGAGAGAGAGAGAGAGAGACAACACATACCTTGACAGTAGATGCAGGCGTGTTACGGAGACCATGTGACAGGTTTCCACTGCAAAAAAAAATAAAATTAAAGGAGTAATAGAACAACCAAATAATTAAGTTCACGGTTATACCAACAACAAATAACAATGGTACGACAATGCACAATGTAAATTTGGGATTATTAATTATTTTTTCAGTAAGATGCACAAATTCAAAGGAAAAGAAAATGAGCACTGGCTGATATCAAACAGGACTTATCAAAATAGCATATATGAGAGACAATGACAAAACTTGGTAGATATGCATATGCCAACATAAAGAATAATTTTCAACACTACCACACGAATCTTCCAAAACAACCTTATCAAGACCACATCTTGACACCTGTAAACATACACATCTGGCAAACATATTACTAGCTAGAAACTGGATAGAAAATCAATTATAAACATAACTGGTGGTAAAAAACAAAACCTTCGGTGACTGGATCAATGTCATCCTGAATTGCTATAGCACATAATAAATAATTGTTTCATCATTGTGAGCATTGACATGCAGTACTATTTAACTCCCAAATTCCCAATTGAGACCTAAGTTGTACAACCAAATTAAAGCTTGAGGCGGCTATAATATGCCACCAAGTGCAATGTATTAATCCGAGAACTGAAACACATTTAGTGAATTATTCTTTAAACAATAAAAAGGAGAATGGTCATGCATTTTGGGTTAGAAAGAGGAGTTGTTGATCACGCCATTGATGTGGCGACTAACATGGGTTAGTGAGTAGCAAGTTAGCAACAGAGATAATTTATGGGATAAATGAACTCAAACGAGTTAAGGACTTCCACTCAAGAGCTATGGGATCATTCTCCCTCAAGTGACCCAAAACAAGTCCAGCCCAGCAAGTCATGTAAATTACCACTCAACTACACAATCAGATTTCAGAGATATGCACGTAACCCTTATTACCTCAAAACTTCAGCAAAAGTAAAGGGCACTACTACATCTCCATGGAGTGCCAAAATCCAACGAATAGGTCTGCTAAACATAACCTAGATACAATGCAAGAAACACAAAAATAACACATTAGCTAAACGATACTCTTACAAGTGCTCTGAGGATATTAGCTTGCTCCTCTTTGTGGCAATAATAAAAAGAAACAAGGTAAGCAAAGTCAGGAGTTTTAGGCTAGTGTGTTCAGGTGGGACAATGGAGCACTGTACAATTTCTGAAATTACATCAAAAGACATAATGTCCTGATATAATAATGTTTCTTTAGTGTTGAGATGGTGTCTTTTAATATAGGAGAATGTGCAGGCACAGAAGGGGCTTTCTATAATAGTATAGATGAATAAATGAAAACACAAGTACAGGTATGTTCACGCACTACAACATGAAAGTACACTTATACTGATGGCAACGAGGCAGGGTGGGTAGGGCTAGTTCTCCATCTCAGCCACAGCCCAGTATGTGTCCACATATATATAACATAAAATTAAAATACAATATACCTGAGAGTTCCAGCGCATTGACTTTGGAAATGAAAGTCTAGCAATCACATTGGGAAAATCCTCAGACAAAACCTAATCAAGAGAGAATTAAAAAAACACTTTTATTGCAATGAAACTGTATAGACAACTTTTTTCATTAGGAAACAGAGTGAACCAGAGGTCCACCCATAGTGCAATTAAACCAGCAGCCAAAGTAACTAGCCATCAAGTCCATAGAAGGGGAAACCACGGAACAAGTTTTCAGTTCATATTAACTTTCTCCAACAATTGGGTTCATATGTACTTACAGAGGCATTTGCAATCATATTCATTCACGGACAACAGTTTAATTCATAAGAATAACAATCATAAATAGCATTCAACTAGTTGGGTTCACAAATTTTTTGCTCATATTAACTTGCATACCAACATACAGGATGACATACAAGACAAAGATATCCAAACATGCTTTAGAGTTATTTATGTGATCTGTCTAAATGAAAATATATTAACAATAACAACAATAGTATTAATAAGATGAAGAATGATGATACTAACAAAACAACAATAATAATATTGCAACGATCCCATCCAATTCAAATAAAAAACCAAAGATGTTCTCCTACCCTTGAGTTTTTTCTTATTCCTTTTGTCATCATATGCAAATAGTTGACTGAACAAACTTACCAATGATATACTAGCTAATAAATTTGAAAAGGTCAACACTTTCAGTTTTATGACTTCAATAAGCACACAGAACAGCAACATAAGCATTTTAAAAGGGCATCAGCTTCTACTGAAGTACAGATGAAATTTCCACAGGAAATAAATAAATAAAGATGAGAAATCTGAAAATTCAATTCTTCTAGCAAACAGGAAAAGATAAGAATTTGAACCTCGACAGCAAGTCGGGCAGACTCTGTTACTCGAGCATAGACATACTCTGTTTTCCCTGAAAAGTGAGAAACAAGCTCCTAATGAATGTTTGCAACTAGAACAAAGCAGCAACAAAATCTAAATCATGAAATACGAGGTTCAAAACACATCTAAAGTGTGAATCAGCCCAGGTCTCACCATCAGACTTTCGATATAACAAGTTCAATGGTGCAGAGTATCTCCGGCAGAAACCCTCAGCAGCCTGACATGAAATAGCAGGTTCAACACTAAACACCTTTGTATATCCATTATAATATAACAATTAATGACATGGGCAATCCTTATACTACGTTAATATGAAAAAGTAATGACATCAATAAGCATGATAAACCAAATAGGTATAATGGAGAAGGCCCACAAGCCTTCAAGGAGAGGCCATACAGGAAAGAAAGGAAATGGAAACTCAGGTATCACCTTTGTAGGATTTCCCTGATCATCATAAGCTTTTGAAACAGGAGGTCCTCGAACCTCAACCTCATTCTCAATTTGTTTAGTGCAGAGATTCTCGACAGAAACCTAGAATGCAAAAGTAAATATTCAAAGCAAGATCATAAGACTACGTCCACAAATTCTCTAATCCCAACGTACTTCATTTAAGTTCCAAGTCGTGCATAAATATGTCGTAATTATATAAAACAGTGCATCTAAGGTGTGTAACATGACAAGTCAAAACATTTGCAATCTAAATGAAATAAAATAAAGGCTTGAATTGGAAATTTCATAAAGGAAAAGGAAGAAAGAGAACCATCATAACTGATATCGAAGAAAAGGAGAAACTTAAATTATGTAACGGAAGTTCAACACATACAAAATGATAAAACAAAAATAGCCACTAAAACTATCTAAAACTCAAAAAGAAAATGAGATATAATAGAAGAAATGGACATCCTGAGAACGAGAAATTTCAACCCAGCAAAAAGGAAGAAAGGGGCCCAGACATATCCAACCATAAAACTGTGTAAGTATATCAAAGAAAGATAAGCCTGAATTATGCAATGGAAGTTCAACACAACAAAAGGGTGAACTGAATATGGCTACTAAAAATATCTAAACACTTTAAAATGAAAAAGGAAGAAACAGAATAGAAGAAATGGATATCTTGATCAGCCAATTATAGTGATAAACCTAATGGAATAAGAAAAATTCATCTTCGAAATTAAAATGTTTGAGTAGAGGAATAAATCTATAAATTGCCAATGCATACGCAGACAAAATTTCTAATCTTACCACCAGTCTGCGAGGTGTGCCAAAAGCTTGTATCTCACCATGGCTCAGTCTTTGCTTTGCTAGTAACTGAGCAGTTAAATCTTTCAGCTGCAATGATCAGCTGAACACAATCAGAGAAAGAACACAAATGGAAAAGGCACATAACTTTCAAAATGCTCATGGAATTTCAAAAAGGACAAAATGCATGTAAAAAAAAAAAAATGATCATATGCAATTAATTGTACTTGCTGGCTGGCATCGACAACATCTTGTGGTGGCATCTCTTCAGTTCCAATTTCAAGAACAAATAACCTTGAATCATCATGCACCTGGGACATAAGTCAACAAACAAAAAAGCACACTAAATAATAAGAAATAATCATATGTATAACAAATTGACATAAACCTAAACATCTGAAATGGTGAACACGTAGCAATTCTGAAAACCTCAATTCAACCAAATTTTTGTATTTCTTTATTGGTCAAAACCAATTTTGTTCTTAAAGAAACAGAATTTAATTGAAAACAAAATAAAGTAAAACCATTCCGGATAAGCTTGCAAATTCCAATATACAAAAGCTGACCTTTTTAACCGCTGCCTCCACAAGCTCTTGAGGACATACAAGACTAACAGTTTCAGAAATTGCGCCTAACGGATATCCAAGGGACTCCCTGGTCTTTAACCAAAGTTGTGCACACTGACGAGCTAAACTGATAAAAGTATTTTTAAGAAACAAAGAGAAGTAATAAGCATAGGCACAAAATTGGGGAATAGAGTCACAAAATTAGGTATTTTATAACTAATTTTTTCAACATTTGTAAACATTAGCTCCATTTCTCACAAAAAAAGCTCAACATTTTTAAGGTGCCCCCTCTTAGTTAATTTCTGGCTTCGCCCCTGCTCATATGGAGCCCTTTATCTTGGCCGTTCAAATAGATCAAATTGTAATGAATGGTGCCAATTCATTTAATGAGGATGATTATGATTTTATCGTATGTTTATCCCTTCATCTTTCACCGTCCAAGAGCCCAGCAAAAAAAAAAAAAAAACATTGCCCAGCAGACCTTTCATGGTTGCCAAGTCCCAAGGGCCCTCCTTCTTCTTCACCTACACCCATATGACAAAGCCCCCAATATATTCTCCTAATTGATGTTGGCATAATACTCAATTTTTTGTCAAACCAGATCATTTTTATTAGAATTTCTTGATATTCATTGACTGATTGTGTTTACAATATATAGCAGCCAATAGGTAATTAAAATAACAATGCTTTGTACTCTACCATATTTCACCAGTGACCTATAATATTTTCTACAACTTTTCTACATTAATCCAAAAAACAATTTAGGTTCAACAAAACTGGGTTTGTACTCACTACTCTCACATAAATGTAACGAGATGTATATTATTGAACAAAGAAAAAATGGCTTGGCTTTGTTCTTTTCTAACTATACTCCCCAAGACTATTCCACAGCAGAGAAAAGTTTCCAGTGTTGATTTTGACTACACAAACTGTTCTACAAGTTTTCAAGCAAATTTCTTTGCTATCAGGAAAGAAATCTTACCTACGCATACGACCAAAGTAACGAGCACGCTCTGTTACCCCAACAAAGCCTCTAGAGTCTAAGATATTGAAGGAATGTGATGTTTTCAGAAGCTGATCATACCTAGAAAGTAATAGGGGAAATGTAAAGAAATGTGAACCAAAAACTCATTAGTTACAATTCCAAAAATAAGACAAAGTAACAAAGCATGTCATACGCAGGAATTGCGAGGCCTGAAGCAAGCAATGAACGAGCTTCCTCCTCGAAAAGATCAAAGTGTTTCTGAAGATGATGCACCTCAGCATTCTCTAGATAATATGCACTCATTTCCTTCCTGAAGAGAAATACAACGTATATTATTTTACATTCTTACTAGAAAATGAGAAATAAGATGAACAAAGAAGAAGAATAGTATCATATTCATAACATTACTGAATCTCCAACTCAAAATACTGTGCAGTACAAATATATATTCTTGGGATCCTTATCAATCTAACACACTCTTCCACAGGGAAAAAGATTATATGTATATGTCAACAGAAGAGATCGTAATCAGTAGTTCAAGTAGTTCATTACTCATTCTCCAAGAATAGCTCTCCGTATGTAATTCCATCAGCATACTGAATTTTCTTAAAATGATCAACTCCCTGCAAATTAGTCAAGGAAAACTTAAGTGATCAGAAGAACAAAGAAAGAAGCAGAATATCAGACATATAAATTGACCTGAAGCAGCATGAGGATACGCTCTAGACCATAAGTGATTTCCACCGATACTGGTGATACGGGAAGACTTCCAGCCTGTAGAGAGAGAGAGAGAGAGAGAGTAAAAAAAATTGAATCTACATTCTGTGTATGATATTTCAATTTGACGTAAAATAAGAAACCTGCTGAAAGTAGGTGAACTGTGTAATCTCCATTCCATCCATCCAGATTTCCCAACCCAAACCCCAAGCTCCAAGCACCTAAAAGCATTAATGATCAGTAAGTATATAGCATATCAGCCAATTGAAAGGAAATCTAACCAACGTATTACATTGCATCTCACCCAGAGGCTCAAAGAAAAACTGCATAAAATTAACAGGAAAAACTGATTGAGCACCAATTAACAGAATACTACCGGACTCTCCCAGTTGTCCTCCACAAATCGTATATCATGTGCACGGACATCAATCCCTACAAAGCATACAAACATAAAATGATAATGGCAAAGTTAAATGGCTGAAGTTACAGGAACAAGTGCTATAAATTTTGTTATATGGATGAAATCTTTATATTCTTTGCTTTTTTCTGTAAGTAAGATCTGCATATCTTAACAATGAATTACACACCGCCCAATAATTCTTTTTCTTCCAGTTTCCCTTGGAAATGGAAAATTTACTTAAACCCCATGACCTGATGAGTAGCATACCAAACAACGTAAGAGTCCTCTTTCTTATTTTGATCCATGATAAAGATCAGTTCCAATTCTTTATCGGATCCAAGACTAGTATTTTCTCTTTTTGTTTACCTTTTCTTTGAAAGTAAAAACATTAATAAAAGGTTCTAGGGTGCACAAGCCAAGTTAAAGGCGTGTATGCAATGGCCAACCTAAAATAATATATACGAACTATGTGTATAAGCATGGATTCCTATGGTGCTTATTTATTTTCTGAGCATTAAGTATATTAAATAATTTGTTGACTATCCACCCAGAATTGAAGCTTGAATTGTACGGTAAGAGATATGAACATGCATACAATGTATTCAGGTAGATATGTGTGAAAACACTTAAGTGACGCACACACAATTTGCAAGGCCACTTTCCGTTACTTGAACAGAGTCACAATACACATTCGCATTTATGGTTTGTTTGAATGGTTCAAAGAAAAAGATTTTTATTGACTACCTAAAGCTGATAAGCTGCGGATGAAAAGGTCTTGTGAGTTTCCAGGATCAGGCTTCAATATAACCTGAGATAGATAAATGAAAAGGAACTGTCCATGACAACAGGTAATATGAAAGAATTGTACCAAAAAAGAGTAGAACCAAGTGTCATCCAAAATTGCATTAACTTGCTTGGGGGAAAAAATAAATAAATAAATAAAAATATAAAAAATAAAAAATATAAAAATAAAAAGAAAAGAAAAGAAAGAGCAAACTTAACCTGAAATTGAGTGTGTCTCTGGAGCCTGTTTGGATTTTCCCCATAACGACTATCATCTGGTCGGATGCTAGGCTCCACATACCTATTATCAAGAAGTCCACATTCGCAGTTAAACGAAAAACTTGAAGGACCAGCTGCTCTATGTGGTAATAATTACAAAAATGAAAAAAAAGAAGAATAAATGTCATAAAGAGAATTCCACATCAGATAGGAAGTGGATTTCGTTGGTGTAAAAGGTTGGCTCAATATAAGCCAAGATGGATGTGAAGAGAATCCCACATCGGAGAAGGGGACACCTATCACTCATGGAGTCTAGCCATTGATACAACAGATTCGATATAGGATTCATAAGGGTGGGTAGACACCTATCACTTTGGTTCGTACTTTAGGTAGTACAGTAAGCTCACAACCGGTGATATTAAGATCACGACAGGACTAGTTCCTTATCCAATATCGCACGAATTGTCTATATAGAGGGTCCACATAGATAACTGATCCCCTGCTGATGGGGTGGGTAGACAGACGCTCCATCCACAATGAGGGCATAAAGTGTTTGAGTTGGGGAGAAGGTTAAGAACAAGAATCCCACATAAGAACTGATAGGGTTTATATGGGTGGGTAGGTAACACTCTATAAGGCCAAGTTGGTAAAGGAAACTTACTGGCAATGTAATAAATATGACTATGACCAGATAACCCCACACATCAGGGAAATCAATACCGTAGTCCTCCGAATATATATTAATGTAGTAATTTACAAACTTACGCATACTTACGCAACATTCCATGGTTCTGGACCAAGAACCCTTAAGAATGTCAAGGGATTCATAGTCCCAGCTCCAACCTGATCAATAACCAAAGTCACAGTAAGAAAAATACGTAACTAGGCATAAATTTGGGATAGTCAGACAAAAACTAAGATGCTTAGTGCCTCAAACCACCTAAACAACTATAAGAGAAATATGTGCTTATTTTGCCCATTAAGTTTTGCAGCATTCCCCGTCCACCTGGCGAACCTTTCTTCTTCTTAATCACGAGTTTTTTACTTATCAAAACAAAAAAAAAAGGAAAAATGACTTTTCAGTCCAATTTGATAAAGAACAACACGCAAAACACAATTTTGAACATACAGTAGGGCGAAAGGTGCACTGTGCGGATCAGAGGTTATAATTCAGCACAGAAAAACACATTTCTCCAAATAAAGCAACAACTAAAAGGGAAAGAATTAAACAAAGCATAACCTTATAAGTAAACCCAAGTGAAAAAGTTAAGCACTAATCATTACCTCTGTGTTGCTGCATTGCATTATGGCACATCCAACTGAAGCCCAATATTCCTACAAAGTAGAAAACGACAATGCAATCAATGGAATATCAAAGCATGAAAACTGAGATTACCCAACAAAATTAATCAAGCAAATAACAAGCAATTGGCAACACAGAGTGAAAAGGAAACGACTTTGGACTGAAGAGTGAGACCTGGAGCCGCTGAATGGCTTGCTGGAAAGTAAGGACGGAGGCTTTCCGGGGCTCATCATTGGGGTTTGTGGACGAGTCGTGCTGTGGAACCGCGGAGGTACTAACTGCGGAGACGGTGGTTTTCGTGAAGCGGCGGCAGTGGCGGTGGCAGAGTGGGTTGTAGAGACAGGTAGGATTATTGGGGTTGCTGGGGCGGAGGAGGCGGAGGCGGGAAGCGTGGGGCTTGAGAAAGGAGATGACTAGTGGGAGAGCGAGGATAGCCATGACCGGCTCCGCTCCCTGAGTTTGAGGCTTGTATCACACAACCTTACCCACTTGGGTTTATCAGCAACTGAATCCGAACAAGGGTTTTACTTTTCCAGAATTTATCAAATATAGCTAAAAATTAACTTTTAATTTTAAAAACATCACTTTTTATAAAAAAAAAAAATTTAAATATATTCAAAATTTCACCTAAATAGACATAAATACCCTCAAATTTAACAATCAAATAAATTAAAATATTTTTAGCCAAAATAATTCATGATATTACCATAACTCCTTTATCTAGTCTTTAACAATTAATGATAATTAGTAGTAGTGTTCTTGAATTTATTTATCGTTAATCATTTTAGTCTTTCTTTGAATTTGTCCATCATGATCATTTTAGTTTTTTCGTGAAAAATCGGTTAATTGCTCTATTAGTGTGATAATGTGGTGTCACGTGAGTCTCACAAATACAATCATATAACGACATGTGGATTAACTTTAAAAACTATTTTTATATTTAAAACTAAAAATGATATTAGTAAGAAAAAAGGCTTTAAAGACCTGATTGAAATTATGTTGCTGCTCCCACTTGTGGTATCCGCGGCGACGCTCAATGTCGGTGATGAGGGGGTCGAAGGGGATAGAGTTGTGGTGGTGGAGTGTAGAAGTAAAGGTGAAGTTGGACCGGAGCTTGAGGTGACAAAAGCTAAAAAGCCCTTAATTTATGTAATTGTTAAATTTGAGGGTATTTTTGTCTATTTAAGTGAAATTTTGGATATATTTGAAAGTTTTTATAAAAAGTGATATTTTTGAAATTAAGAGTTAATTTTTTGCTATATTTGATAAATAGTATTATTTTTCTTCCCTTTCCTTTGAAAATGCCTTCTTTACCCCTTAATAAACTGGGAATGGGCCCACCAACCACAAAGGAAGAAACCACAAAACAAAGAGGATCTAAATGCAGTGAGGACGTTACACGCGCGATTGTTTGGCCTCGTTAAGTTTTACTGGACTGAATTGAGTTAGATATTAGTGTAAGCATGTGTTTGTTATAAGCAGAACTAAGTTTAATAATAGGATAAAGGAGGACTCCTCGACTAAGTCCCTCAATAGGAGGTATTAGTGAGATCCTCCAATAACAACGGGATTGTTAGTCCCATCTCCCTCGTCTGTAAGCAGCGGCCCAGTCTACATGATTAGCAATTGCGGTCACCTTCTTTAGTGACCAAATCAGAGACAACTCTCGCCGATCTCCACTGTCCCTCAAACCCAGCCCCAATTTGGGGTTTTCCGCCATCTGTGTTGACCCGAACATGCCAAAGATGGCTCATTGGCTATCCCAGATCGCACACACATCGATTTCTCAACCTCACAAACGTCCTAAATTTTCTCCCTTGCCAAACACCCGCTTCCGCTGATTCTCCCACAAGCTGTGTTCCGTCGCGAAAATTTAACCAACTATGATCTCAATCTATGTGACATATAAGGTGAGTAGTTAGTAGGAATTTGGGAATTTTCAAGGTGTTTGGTTGGTGAAAAAGTTAAGAGAGAGAACGAAAGAAAATGGAATGGCATTAGTAGGAATTGGGGATTTTGAAATGTGATTTTCTGCCAATGGGAATTCTCTACAAATGGGAATTCCATGAAAGCGTGGTTCATGAAGGAAAAGAGATTTGTGTGTCTGAATTGGGTTGATTCTGGTAGAGAGGATTGATATTTCTCGAGAGAAAGAGGAGGGTCCACAAACAAAAGAAAAAAAATAGAATTAATAATAAATTTTTATTGATATAGATTAAATACTAAATATAATTTTAAAGTTCCTTGATAATCTTGTTTTTAGTCTAATGTTACATCAAATGCTTCACTAAATTAGTTCAATTTAGTCTATTCTAAGTTAGTCCAGCTTAGCCTCTTAAGCTAGTCAAATCAGAGATAGTCTGTTACATAAACGCACCTAGGTATTGTGGAAGATCACATCGCAAGCCTTTTTACTACCAAGGGGCCTCGGGACTGGGGAGTAATTTTTGAATGCATTGAGCTATCTGTTAGAACTGAGATGAACTATAGTCTCCTATGCCAGATTACAGGTCAAGAGATTAAGGATACATTCTTTCAACTGGGAGGCTTAAAGGCACCATGGTTAGATGGTTTTCAATGAATGATTTATCAGTCTTATTGGGTTATTATTTCTGAGGAAGTTTAAGGAATGACATAGGATTTCATAAATGGAGCGTCCAGCCCCAGGAAAGTTAATACCACTCATAGTATTGGTACCAGAAATCCAAAATCCAAAGGAGGTTGATTAGTCCAGGCAAATCAGTCGTTGCAACTACTCATATAAGGTGTTATCTAAAGTTCTTTCCAATCTACTTAGGCCTTTGTTACATGATTTGATTTTTCTAATGCAAATTGCTTTTGTAAATGGACAATAAATTCAGGATAATATTCTCATCGCTCACAAAGTTTTTCATTTTCTCAAATTAAGGAAAATAAGAAGAAAATTGGAGTTGGGATCAAACTGGATATGAGTAAGGTTTATAATCGAATCGAGTGAGATTTTTTTAGAGGTTGTGGTGGTAAGGATAGGTTTTCACAGATTTTGAAATAACTTGTTGGTGAATGTGTTAGATTAGTGGATTTTGTTGTTATTATTAATGGGAATTCAGGTCGCAAATTTCAACCATCTCGGGAGTTGCGTCAAGGGGATCCACTGTCAATCGTATCTATTCTTACTAGTTAGCGAAGTTTTATCTTCGTTGATTCACAAAACCATTGAGATGGATTATGTCCAAGGAATTCAAATCAACTCCCTTGCTTTTTGTAGATGTCACTTTCATTTTCTTACAAGCTACTCAATAGAACTTGTTGACCCTAAAAATTACAAAGCCTACATGACGCGCAGGCCAAGTAACTAATAAGCTAATTACGTCATTCGGTTGAATGCGGGGCATGCCAACTCGTCGGCCGAGCTCTACCGAGGAGTAAAATTTGTTGATGTTGTGTTGAGTGCGCTGCTGACTTCTTGATCTTGCGATTGCGGCCGAGAAATGAACAAATCTCGGCCTTTGGATTCTCGAGCCTGAAGACAAGGCTGCTAGTTCTGCGAAGTTCAATATCAAATTCGGCTCTCAGGGTGCCAAATGTAGTAACCTGGTAACACCTCACTTCGCCGAGAAGGCTAATGAGATGACCTCTGCCAACAAGGATTCGAAAATCCTTCTCGACCGAGACTTGGATAGATAATCAGTCGGCCTCGATGTAGTGCTATTTATCCAAACTGAAGGTGCTTTGGGAACAGCTGATTCTACGTCACCAACGCTGTTTATCCAAACTGAAGATGTTCGCCGGTTGCCTTCACAATGTTGTTTATCCAAATTGAAGGTGTGTCGACGGGAAGAAGAAAATAAAATAAAATAAAATTTCAAGAGATTTGAGAGGTTTTGTGCAGGGCAATTATGTGTTAAATTGGAGGTCCTCAAACTGAAGATGCAGCTCTATATTTATAGTGTTGATATTTGCTTGACATGGCTAGATAATTGTGGAGTTCGACTGTAACTCTAACTTGCAAAATGAAATATGATCTGTGTGGCTGACTTTTCAAATGAAAACTCATCTAGGTTTATCCCATCATGACCAAAGACCTAACCTACCTAGGCTTCCTATCATAACTCCATCACCATCAAATCCTAGGCTTATCACATCACCACATCATCACCAAAAACCTAGCTTTCCTAGGCTCTCATCATCTTTTACCAAAACTGCCGCATGCATCCTGACCCTATGAATATTAAATTCATTTTAATTATCACCATATTTAAATGGATAATAATCTGTTCAGAATCCAATCCCATTAGTAGTTCCAAGTGACCTCATAATATCATCCTGTTCTGCATGCTTTATTATCTGATGTCGTGCATATCTGTTAACCAAAAACTGATCCAACCACACACCCATGTGCCAAACATCCACATTAACTTGAATTATCTTGAATTGTGCTGCATGTTTCCTAGCTTGGAGATATATTATTTTTCACATGAAAATGTCAAGATAAATCATTATTAAAAGATAATTATGATAAAAATCATAATGTTATCTTTTAATATTAATAAAATTATCTTCACGAATTCACCGACAGTGTGGAAGTACGCTTACTCAACGGCTTCGTTACTCGGCCCGATGGTGCAATTTTGGGTCTAAACATGCCCTCCAGTTTTCTTAAGTTTCGGCTCGTAAGCCGAATGGTTAAGGAAACTAAGCATTTTGCAGTTGAACTTGGCCACTACTGAGTACTTCCGCCGAATTGATAACATCCTTGAACCTGCCTGAGGTGAGAAAAACAACTTTGTTGATCTAAGTTATACAAAAGCTCCACATAAGCTGATCAGAATTTGTATATAAATCTTTTAGCCAATGACCTTGGTCAAAACTTCATACCCACCAACCACGCTAATAATATTTGTTCACCGAGTACAAACATAACTCAGCCAAGAACAACTTCGCCAAACGAATCCTTCAAAGAGCACCCAAAATGGCTTGTAAAGGCAATGAACTCTCAGATTTGCTGCGGCATATTGGTTGATGTTTCATTCTTTAAGCAAAATGAGCCAAGGACTACCGTTTCTTTCACCCCCAGTGATAACGGAGAGCACAAGGGGAGTCGACAGTTGGTCGAGTATCACTAAGGTCGCGTCCTCGCTGCTCTTGAATTTGAATTACTACCAACGCCTCATCACCAAAGACAACTAGATAACTCCTACTAACTTTTCACTTGTACCAAAAAAGAAAATGGTAAAACAATTTTTGTTGAAAAAATCTGCAACCACCTGTCCACATCACTGTCAAGGTGGAAAATCCAAGCAGGAGAATTCTCTGGCTCATTTCGTGGCCTTTGGTTTGGATGGATACCATTTGTTTTCAGCAGCCCATTTGTGATGGCAGAAAAACTACAGTGGAGAACAGAGAGCAAAAACGGAGATAAATGTCGCATTTCTCGGCTGCCGAGGTCGAGAAAAATTTGGAGAGTTGAGGGTAAATTGTGT